AAAAAAAAAAAAAAAAAAAAGGTGCATAAGTTAACAGTGGGTGTTAAAGATAACACTTTCTTTCCTTTTTTGGGGGGTACCTGGGATTGAACTCGGGTCCTTGCATTTGCAGAATCACTGAGCTAAATCCGTGGCCCTACAGTAACACTTTCTTGAGATGGTCTCTGAAAATAAACAACTGACTGAAAATTGCTATTTATTTTACTATAGAGGAATCCGAATTAAGATACCACCTAAATACTGGAAGGAGGCACACGAGGAAGAAGTTGCTTCCAACTTAGGAGGGGAAATACAGTAACTACAACTCCTCGAACTTCTAAAGGCAGTTTTAGTTTGCAGAGCACTTTATTTCTTAGCATCTAAGCAAACCATTACCGTAATTTGGTAGAACACGGATTATCACATCCATCTGACTGGATGTGGCAAAGACTGAAAGCCCTTAGTAAGCATTCTGCCTCACGACAGGCTGGGTCTAGTCGCGAGTGGGTTGGCGACTAGCCTAGCATTAGCATGGGCTGTCCCGTCCCCCCCACCCTTTAAGCACCTCATATGTCACAGGCCCTGTGCTGAGGGTTTCACAGACATCATTTACCATAACCCCAAGACTGTCCTGTGGGGTGGGCACTGTTACCATCCGCATTTTACAGGTAACAAGAGTGAAACAGAGGCAGCGGACAAGGTCACCCTGCCGGCAGGGGCGCGAGGGGATCCTGGCTGACAAAACCCCTCCACTGCGCAGTCCAAGGCCACGGGGGTGAGGTCGGCCGGTAGGGAAGAGTGCTGACCTGTCCGACACTTGTTCCTGGGTGAGCTTCTTGTCGCTCTGCAACAGTATGGACACGTAGTGGCGGATCATGCCTACGAAAAAAGTGATGATAACGATGGGAAGAACCACCCAGAGGCGGATGTTGGAGTCCAGCAACAACTCCGGCCCCGCCATCTTCGCTGAGAGAGGCCGCGGGGAGTGGAATTTGCCTCGGTCCGCTCCGGGGCCTCCTCACGCCGCTCAGGCTGGCCGGCCGGTAATCCACAGCAGCCCCCCTCCCGGCGG